CCAGCGGTACCGGCTGTGGCGCAGTACTGTACTCTGAACACACAAATACACGGGGCGTGGAACTTTGCGCAACGCGTTTTTTTTTTTCACCGTACGTCTATTTGATAAATTAGACTCCAAACTTATAATAATTACGTATAAAAACCTTATTAAATCATTTATTTCAATCTGTATTTAAATCATTTTTTTTTATTTTAAATAAAATGAAGTTTTGTTTGTGTCACAATAATAAAATGTTGGTTTTTTTTTCTTTTCTGACACGAAGCCTTTCCGTAGTTTCACCCTGGTTATTGTTCTTGACAGACACGGCCCACTTAGTGCTGCGCTGCCTTCAACATCCTTGCTGTGACCTGTGAGCAATATATATATATATTTCATATAGTTTTTTAGTCACAGTGAAAGGAAAACCTTTGTCGAAGCGTTGTTCTCATGAGAGCGTGTGATGTTCAGGGACCTGGATGTTATTTTAATGAGATTAACATTTGGAGCGGATTAAATGGAGGACTAATGGGACGCCGCGCTGTCAGTCCGGCTTACCATCAGGGGACGTTGTCTTGCCTTAGATCACCCTGTACTCACACAAGAGAAATCACTTTTTTTTTTCTTTTTTTTTTTCTAATAAAATTGTCACCAATAAACACTAAAAATCAGCCAATAAAATAGTACAGTGTGATATCTCGATAACTGATTGATTATGGCTAGCTGGGATTAGCTTGGCTAGGTTCAAGTGTGTGAAGTCACATTTTTTAGCATAATTAGGTAGCATTTTTCAAACTGCTTGTTTCTCCTGAAGGAAGAGGCTTAGTTTCATAATTAAAACCCAAGGGGGTAAGAAGTGAACACGTCTACAGAAAGTAGGAGTTGGTTGCTACATTTAGCTAGCCTTAGCGCAGTAAAGCGCTAGTAGCTCAGACGTGTATGTCCGGAGGGATTCGTTTCGTTCCTAAGGGAAATACAAACTAAGTTTAACTCGTGAATTTTTTTGTGTAGTAGAATTTGATAAAAATAAAGTTATAATAAAGACATGGTTTACAGAGGCTAACTTTTTCACAGAAGCGGGGGGAAAAAACGTTACTAATTCTCTAATCTGTATCTTCAACAAATCCATCCATTCCTTCAAATGTTAGTTTTCCAGTTTAGAGATCCTGGTTTCACATACCCCTGTAGGGCCCCAGCACCTAGTGGGGAGTCACGGGAACTTCACTTACGCTACTGCCACTCACTGTTTACACGTAATGTTGATAATTACCAAAATAAATAGTGGAAAATCGCAGGTTACCTACAGGTCAAAATGAGAAAATTGAATAAAACTGAATCACATTTAGTCATGCTATATTAGCCCGGCTAGCTCAGTGGGTAGAGCGTGAGACTCTTAATATCAGCGTCGTGGGATCGTGCCCCCATGCTGGGTGGTAGGACAGACTGTTAGGCGCTTGGACAGACAGACAGACGGACAGATGAGACGTTGGACATTTGCGGAGACAGACAGAGTGTGATGTGTCTGCTCGCTCGCTGCCTCCCTCCTGATTTAATGCACAGCTCATTTGTTGGATGCTTTACTGGCTTCATTTCTTTTCTTGAATGTCTATAATCTTCTGTGTCTGCATATTTTTTCTGTGCACATTACCCATCAGACTAAAATCAGGAACTATGAAAGCATCGACCCACAGAACTTTGACTTCAGGAGAACACCTAAGGTATAAACTTGCATGGTCAAACGATGCACGCCGCCCAACCAATCTCTGAGCTCGCCCAGTAGTCGCCCCAACACTCCAGTGTCAGTCCCTCCCATGCAGAATCCAGTCCAGCTCCAGAGATAGACTCTTATCCTGGTGGCACGTCTTTTCTCCACCATTTCCTTGTTTTCGTTCTTTGATTTGATTTGTCATTCGAGTCCTGCACACAGGCAATGGTTTCCACGTACGAGGAGAAACGCCCTTCCTCTTCCCCTTCACTCCACCCCCTCCCTTCTGAGTTTTTTTTTTCTTCATGTGAAGGGTTGCATGCAGCCAGGCTAAGGCTTGGCTCGGTCTGCAGATCTGAGGAACCCCCCCTCAACCCCCAACAAGATCTCACTTTTTTGCAACATCAGACATAATTTTTTCTTTTGGGAAATGTTCCACCTTTTTGCTCCCTCCTCCCAACCCTTTATCCTTTCTTTCTATAACATGCACGCCCCTGATTGGTTGGTTGGTTGGTTGGGTAGAGTCTTGAAAGTGCCTTAGTTTGCAGGCGACACCACACCACGCACAACTTTTTGCCCTTTTTGTTTTTTTTTTCTTTACCTTCAAGCTTTGTCCTTTAGTTCTCCTTTAGTTCCGCAGATCTCTAATACATTTTTATCTTCATTATTTTGTCCCACCCCCCACTCTTCCCGTGGTAGTATGGCTGAGAGGGAGCATGGTCGAGGCTGGGGTCGGGGGGGTGGAGTCCTTGATGGTTCTAAGCTAACGATGCCTGTGCTACGATGTGTCCTGTGTTGTTGTTGTTCCGCTGTGTTTCTGAATGTTCTCCGACGGCGGCGCCCGTTGCCCCGCACTGCTGCCCCGTCACCATGGGCCGGTGATTGAACAGGCAGAAAAGGTGCTGATGTTCAACCAGGACACCAACCTGACGGCGCTGCTGCTCGAGGCCAAGGACCTGGAGGCTCGAGTCATCATCCTCTCTGCCAGGTTTGCAGAAACCGTCTTTCGTCGATAATGGTCGATGGAGATTAGTAACTGCATAAATACTCAATATTTACCACAATATTGGCCAATAATTAGTTAGCAACTAGTAATGAAATGTACAGTTGAACCTCGAGATACGAACATAATCCGTTCCAGGACCGAGCTCGTATCTCGAATCATGTTTTCCCATAAGAGAGTGTGAGATTAATTAAATGAGCTGCAATGCTGCCATCTAGTGACCTTCACTTTAATATACCGTCATTTATCCCCAAAACTATTTTCAGGTCACACATCATTTGGCGAAACCCAGGCATTGCGTTCTCGGGTTTTCATTATTGGAGGAAAAACTGATAACAGCTCTTACAGATATTACATAATATGCTAATAGCGGTCGGCCGATATTATCGGACATCCCTGGTATATTGTTATAGCCCACGTAACCGTCCAATCCAAGTCACGACTGGATTCCAAAATAAACATCCAATAATAATATCAGACAAAAATGTGGGCTTTTATATTTGACAAATACAGTTGGTGCCCCCTGCTGTTCTGCACAGTTTTCCCATAAGTCTTCCCATAAGAAATAATAATCACTATTATTAAGAGTAATGCACAAAATAGAGAGAAAGTCACTTAGAGAACGCAAACATAATACGGAAGACTCGTGGGAGATGTGTACAGAAGTCGACGAACACGTGAAGAGAACATGTGAGGCGGCGTGGGCTGCTCCGACTGCTCGAACACCTAGCTTCGGCGTCTGTAAGCGTACTCATATCTCGAGGCCAAAATTTGCTCGGCGTATCCCAAAATACTCGTATGTCAGGATGCTCGTATCTCAAGGTTCCACTGTTGTTTGTGTTTACTCTCACTTTCAATTTGAAGGAGAGTTCCTGTTGGTTTTTTTGCTTTTGAAGAGTTGCTATTTTTTCCCTCATCATCTTTTAAGATTTTCGTGTCTCTTGTTGCAGTGAGGATGAAGCCGCGGCCATGTACAAAGCGGCCCGTCAGCTCAACATGACTGGCTCCGGTTATGTGTGGCTGGTCGGAGAAAGAGAGATGAATGGAAAAGCTCTGAGTGAAGCTCCAGATGGTACGTCAACCTTCGCCTCCTCCTCCTCTTTTGTTTTTCTTCCTTCTTCTCCGACTCACACTCTCTCTGTGCTTCTCAGCTCTGCTTCCATCTTAGTGTCAGCCCGACTGAGTCCCACGTTAGGAAGATAAGAGCTGGCATTTCCACCAGTCTGTCTGGCTCCATCAGGCAGACGTGATGTTGCCATGAAAAACAGGCTGCAGACAAAAATACCTCTGAGCCTCCGAGCTGTCACCACTGTATTTCTCTGTTTTTTAAATGAGCTATTTTTGTTGAGAACAAAAATAGACGCGGTGACAGAAGGTGACAGAAGAAACAAAAACCTCTGAACTACTGAGTCATTTGATGAATAGTTTGATGGGTGACTGTTGTTGCAGTTTGACAATTCTCTGTAGAAAAAAAAACACCACTCAGTTCAAGACGACTCAACGGCCTCGTCTTATTTACAACAAACCGCAATGGTTCTCAGAGTGAACTCCCAGCATGCACTTTGCTCGTCCCTAACTCAACCCTAATATGCCCAAGGCCCAGAATGTGGGTGTGTAAATGAAACTGAAGCGCTCTTAATCAGATGATTGAAACTAAAACGTGGGCACGATGTTTTAATCAAAGCGTGCGCGGACGTTAGCATCTTTGGCTAATCTCTAACTAACCATCTGCTCTGTGTGTGTGTGTGTGTCCACTTTTAGGACTGCTGGGCCTCCAGCTAATCAACGGTAAGAATGAGTCGGCTCACATCGCTGACGCTGTGGCCGTCGTCGCTCAGTCTCTGCAGGAGTTATTCGAGAAGGAGAACATCACAGAGCCGCCCAGGGGCTGTGTGGGTAACACCAACATCTGGAGGACCGGACCGCTCTTTAAACGGTCGGTACCAGTACAGGAAGTTGACCGACTTTATCTCCAATGTTTCTCCA